TCGGTGGATGGCGTTCTAACCCAAAGATAAAACGGTTTTTGTCTTCAAAGAGAGTGACACCTCTAATCGTTGGAGCTCCAGCGAACAAAACGAGAGAAGAACTGAGCTGGGGAGGCTGCCAGAAAGCTAGAAGAGAGGAGAGAAGGATGAGAGGATTATTTGTTGTTGGTTATTAGAATGAAAGGGGAGACCCTTTATATAGGCGTCTCCACTCGACCAAAATGGCAGGGGATGAATTACAATCATAATTATGACCTTAATTATCGATGTAATTAATTATAAATTCAAACTTTCCGTTTGAAGCAGTCGTAATTGATTCTAATTACAAACCTTCCGTTTGTGACGATAGTAATTTATTCTAATTTCAAACTTTACATTTGAAACGATTGTAATTTATTCTAATTTTAAATCTTCCGTTTGAGATTATAATAAATCTATCCAACGGATAATGTTTTATCCAAATAATATTGCGACTTAGGCCATATACCCGGGTTTAATTTAGGGTTGCACAATTTGGTTTGTCTCGAGAAAGGCAAACTAGTCAAAATATTAACCAAACCCCATACACAATAAATAAATAATATTTGTTTATTTCTTCCAAATTAATTATATTAATTTGGTAAACCGGCCCGTCGCATTTTAACTAATAAAATAATCGATTGCAGATAACCGATTATCCAATAATCCCCCACATGAATGGAAATGCCCATAAAGGACAGAAACCCAGCTCAATCCTTGTGAGATATTGACACATCAGGATAGGTAGTTTTTGGTTTTAACCATCCATAGTCAACATTACAGAGTGTATTGGTGGCCCAGTTGATGTGATGCATTGAATTGTTCCACATTTGCGTGCACTTAGTCAATAATATTGACGTGTCGCTATCTCAGTCTCAACTTTGTTCTCACGCTTTGATCCATTTCGGTCATGGATCTCGTCTTTGGATTCATAAGTGTTTCATTTGAAGTGGCCCACACTTCACACTTATATAGGTAATCCTATATCAAGGTATCTAACTCACACCTTTAGGATCATTAAGAGTCATTGACTCAACCTCACCACTTTTGCACATTATAACACTCATTGCTTTTCAAGGAATTGTATTAAGTGTTCGTGCCGGACTCTTACAGTTTAGTTTTCCCATTGAACCAAGGCTTGGGATTTCCAAGTGATTTGGTTGGGTTACCACTGTAATTGTCTATATCTTGTGGATTTCAAACTCATTCCCTTTAGCAGTTTGTACATTTGATCTCTCTGCAACCCTTTGGGTAGCGGATCCGCTAGATTTTCTATTGATTTTACATATAAAATTAGTCAAAACCCCACTGGTGATCAAATGTCTTACAGTGTTATGTCTACGTCGAATATGTCGGGATTTACCGTTGTAAATTCCATTCTTAGCCATTGCTATTACAGCTTGGCTATTGCAGTGAATCATTATGGGAGGTACTAGTTTAGTCCAGTATGGAATATCATCCATGAAGTTCCTCAGCCATTCGGCTTCTTCGCCAGCTTTATCCAAGGTGATGAACTCCGATTCTATTGTGGATCGTGCAATGCACGTCTATTTTGTGGATTTCCATGAGACAACTCATCCTCCAATTGTAAATACATATCCACTTGTAGACAGTGAGTCTTTTGCATCGGATATCCAATTGGCATCGCAGTACCCTTCGAGTACCGGTAGATATTTCGCGTAATGTATGCCAAAATTCAGAGTAAATTTACGATAACTTAATACTCGTACTAGCGCTTTCCAGTGTTCATGACTGGGGTTGCTAGTATATCGACTCAGCTTGTTTACAGAGCAAGCCAGATCAGGCCTTGTACAATTTGTTAAGTACATTAGGCTTCCAATAATTTTTTCATAGTCTTCTTGAGCTACGGGGTCTCCCCTATTCTTGCTCAAGTGTACGCTGAAGTCCATTGGGGTTTTCACTGGAGTGTTTTCATAGGCATTGAATTTTCTCAGTATCTTTTCCACATAGTGAAACTGAGTCAGAACAGTACCTTTGTCTTGTCTTACAATCTTCATTCCATGGATGACGTCGACAACCCCCAAATATTTCATGTTGAAGTTACGACTCAACATGCATTTGACCTCATGGATCAGACTGACCTCTCTGGCCATGATTAGTAGGTCGTCTACATATAGACATATTATAATAAAACCGGAAGGTGTTTCTTTGGTGTAAACACACTTGTCACACTTGTTTATTTTGAAACCATTTGATAGCATAACGTTATCAAATCTCAAATGTCATTGTAAAGGTGTTTGTTTCAGCCAGTACAAAGACTTTATCAATCTGCACACCTTTTTCTCTTGGCCAGGAACGACATATCCCTCTGGTTGTTCCATATATATTTCTTCTTCTAATTCACCATTTAAAAAAGTAATCTTCACATCCATTTGGTGAATCTCAAGATTGTTCAAAGACGCAATCGAAAGAAGTATTCGAGTGGATGTTATCCTGGTTACCGGTGAATATGTGTCGAAGAAGTCAAACCCTTCGGTTTGTCTGTAGCCTTTTACTACGAGACGAGCTTTGTATTTGTCAATAGACCCATCAGCCTTGAGTTTTTTTTTCAAAATCCATTTACACCCTAGTGGTTTGCAACCTTCGGGTAGGTCAGATAACACCCAAGTGTTATTATGCATTATAGAGTCTATTTCATTATCTATTGCTTCCTTCCAAAAAAGGGGCATCAGGACTGGATAGTGCTTCCTTGATCGTTGTTGGATCATTGTCTAACATATACGTAAAAAAATCTGGACCAAAGGTTTTCTCGATCCTTGTCCTTTTGCTACGCCTAGGCTCTGAAGCCTCTTGATCAGGGCTATTAGTCATTTGTCTTTTTACGCCCTACAGTTCTTCATCTACGGATTTTGGATTTGACTGCATCCGTTCCTTACAAGGGTAGATATTTTCAAAGAATGTGGCATTCTTTGATTCTATCGTAGTTCCCTCGGTCATCCTAGGGATTTCCAATTTGTGAACTATGAAACGATAGGCACTACTGTTTAATGCGTATCCAATAAATATGCAGTCTACCATTTTTGGGGCGATAGCGATTTGCTTTGGAAGCGGAAATTTCACTTTTGCTAGGCACTCCCACACTTTGAATTATTTGTATGTGGGTTTCTTGTCTTTCCATAGTTCGTAAGGGGTGGCATCCTTACCCTTAAATGGAATCTTGTTCAGGATATAATTTGCAGTCAGTACCGCCTCCCCCCACAGGTTTTGGGGAAGTCCTGAACTTATCAACAAGGCATTCATCATTTCTTTAAATATTCGATTTTTGCATTCTGCAATGCCGTTCGATTGAGGTGAATATGGAGCCGTTGTCTGATGAATTATGCCACTTTCGTTACATAATTCTTCGAACGGGGCCACATATTCGCCACCTCTATCACTTCGAACTGTCTTGATTTTATAGTCAAGTTGATTTTCTGCCTCGGTTTTGAAGTTCTTGAAGGCCTCGATTGCTTCGTTCTTTTCCCTTAATAGGTAAAGATAGCAATACTTTGTGCAGTCATCGATAAAGGTGATGAAATATTTCTTTCCACCTCTAGTTTGCACAAATTTTAAATCACATACATCGGTGTGAATTAACTTTAATGGCTTAGTCTTCATTTCGACAGACGGGAAAAATAATTTTGCCATTTTGGCCTCCACACAAACTTCACATTTGTTTTGAGTGTTCACCTCTTTTATATTTAGTAAATTCATATTTACTAATCTCTTTATAGCATTTAGGTTTACATGACCTAGTCTACAATGCCATAAATCAGAATACTCAATCAAGTACGAAGAAGAAGCAACACTTTTATTATCAGTCGGTGGTGCTCGGAGCACGGCCATTACATTCAATTTGAACAACCCATTTGTAAGATAACCCTTAGTTAGGAACATCTCGTTTTTCGACAATATAAATTTATCTGCTACAAAGACCAGTTTAAAACCATGCCTAACTAGTAGCGATCCTGAGACAAGATTTTTCCGAATGTCTGGCACACACAGGACATTTTTCAGGGTTAGTTCTTTGTCAGAGGTCATCTTCAGCACCACGTTCCCTACGCCTCGGTCTCCTTGTAGGTCGAGAAGTTTGTTTTGTCGGAGAAAACATGGCAGGTTGCTCCGGTGTCAATATACCAAGCTCTCGGACTTTCCACATTATTTGTTTCATACACAACAGTGACAAGGTCGTCACTGTTGAGATCACGATCAGTTCGGTGGCTCCTCTCGACCAATTGGGAACTCGGCTTCTTCTTTTTCGGTGCCTTGCAGTCCTTAACCTGGTGTCCTGTTTTTCCACAGTTAAAACAGTTACCTGTAAACTTGGACTGTTTGGCTTTGCCCTTGTCCGTTTGAGTTGGGCGTGCACGTTTTTTGGGAGGATCTCCGACCAAGTTGGCTTTAGCGATATCTCCACTTTTAGCCTTGTGCTGCTTTCTGTTGTCTTCCTCTATCCGGATTCGGACAATCAGATCTTCAAGCCCCACTTGCTTTAGCTCATGCTTCAACCCGTGCTTGAAGTTGCTCCAACTCGAAGGCAATTTCTCGATCATTACACTCGTGATGAACTTTTCTGACAGTGACATCTCTTCATCGATAACAGAGTAAACAATATATTGAAATTCTTCCACTTGTTCGACAATAGGCTTGCCATCTACCATCTTATAGTCCATAAATCGGGCCACAACAAATATTTTAGACCCGGCATTCTCGGACTTATATTTTTTCTCAAGGGCATCCCACAACCCTTTCGCACTCTTTATTTTGCAATATACATTATAAAGAGAGTTAGAGAGACTACCTAATATAGCATTTCTTGTCATGTAGTCTCTGTGTGCCCACGATGCATAATTCATACGTCTGCTGATCCGTACTGGGCTCTGGGGTGATTGGGCCATCGTGCAACACGAACATGTCAAACCCAATCGCAGTCAGGTAGAAGAGCATCTTCTCCTGCCATCTCTTAAAGTCCACTCCCGTGAATGGTTGTGGAATTGTACATGGGGCATCATCCGCCAAGCCCAGGACCAACAGTTTGGGCCGCGAATGAAGCAGAGGGTGCGGCCACAAACCCAGGAAATCCCCCATATCCCCCAGGGGCAAATCTAGAAAACAAAGGGCTGTCCATAAAGGGAACTGGCCCAAGTGAAGGAGCAACTACGTTGTTTGCGGGTTCCGGCGACTCCTCCGGCGACTCCTCCGGTGACGGCTCCGGCAACATCTCCGGTGGAGATTCCGGCGACTCCTCCGGCGACATCTCCGGTTGCGGCTCCAGCGACTTTTCTGACGGCGGTTCCGGCAACTTCTCCGGCGGCGGTTCCGGCGACTTTTCGGGCGGGGGTTCCGGTGACAGCTCCGGCGGAGGTTCCGGAGACTTCTCCGGCGGAGGTTTCGGCGGTGGCTCCGGCGACGACTTCGGCAGGGGTTGACATTCTCGCAAAAGTACTATCTAATTTTCGATTGTTGGAATATATGGGTATTGCGAGAATAAACGTGAAACCGAGTCGATGATGGATCCTCTTTCCGAAAATTAGATACGCCTCGGTAGTGCCTCCGGTGGATGGCGTTCTACCCCAAAGATAAAACGGTTTCCGTCTCCAAAGAGAGTGGCACCTCTAATCGTTGGAGCTCCGGCGAACAAAAACGAGAGAGGAATTGAGCTGGGGAGGCTGCCGGGAAAGCTAGAAGAGAGGAGAGAAGGAAGAGAGGATTATTTGTTGTTGGTTATTAGAATAAAGGGGGAGACCCTTTATATAGGCGTCTCCACTCGACCAAAATGGCAGAGGATTAATTACGATCATAATTACGACCTTAATTATCGACGTAATTAATTATGAATTCAAACCTTCCGTTTGAAGCAGTTGTAATTGATTCTAATTACAAACCTTTGGTTTGTGACAATCGTAATTTATTCTAATTTCAAACCTTCCATTTGAAACGATTGTAATTTATTCTAATTGCAAACCTTCCGTTTGAGATTATAATAAATCTATCCAACGGATAATATTTTATCCAAATAATATTGCGACTTAGGCCATATACCCGGGTTTAATTTGGAGTTGCACAATTTGGTTTGTCTCAATACAGGGAAAATAGCCAAAATATTAACCAAACCCCATACACAAATAAATAAATAATTATATTAATTTGGTACACGGATCCATCGTATTTTCACTCACAAAATAATCGATTGCAGATAACCGATTATCCAACAATTTTCAGATCCCCGGGATCAAATGGCAGCTAGCCTAGTCGTCCAATCCCTCCCCAAACTTTGCCTTGGATCCTGCTGTCTCGACGAGTAAAATTAAGGCCTGTTGTTATCGTATTTTTTACTCTTTAATAGGTCTTTGCTAAAATGGACATTTAAACTTGAAGCTGCCAACGATTCAGTCTGGTGGATCACCTGGGTTCTTTACCGTATGCTGGATGCTCACCAAAATGGCCCTGCTTTATTTTTGACTTAGGATTAATTTTGTTTGTAATTAGTTTTTATTTTATTTTTTTTATGCCGTGGAAATCCATTATATATTTTTTTAATAACGTGAAAATCCGCAGCCTCTATCCAAAAGTGCGCACTGAGTAAATCTCTGATCGAACCTAATACCCTACAAACTAGACTCAACAGGCATGTGTAGCAGATGACCTTAGGTGTTAGGAGCTTGAAACCATAACCTCACGGTCACCTGTTCAACCTCCACACCACCAGAACATCATTTACCGGACTAATTAGTCTTTATTTTTAATTAGGCTTTGGTGGCTTGCCTCTGTTCTCGTATGCCGGCGTAGTTTTGTCTCTTTTTGTTCAGGGTGGACTGTCAATCTTGTGCTTACTGACCTCCCTCGATTTTCGGGAGCTCTGTAATTATTTTACCTACTCATTTATATAATTCTTTTCATCTTACCGATAATAAAAACAAAACATCTGATAAAAATAAAAAAATAAACTTTATCAACCTATATACAATCTAAACATATATAAAAAAAAATTAAATAGCTAGAATATTAAGAAAGAAGAAAAACATGCAAAATACCACACATGATCCTAATCTATTAAGTTATCCGGTCTAACATGTAGCAGCATTACACAATGGTATTATATACACTCACAAGGAACCAGTAATATTTGTTTGGAGGATTGAATAATAAAAATAATATTTTAATTTGATATTTTAATTTTTTTTAAAAGAAAATTCATTTTTATGAATAATATTTCATATAAAATCTTGGCAAAATTATCCATAACTCCCTTATGGTTTCGAAACTCAGGATAAATTCTTCATTTACTTTAAAAATTGCATGGTATCCCTTTATACTTTAAAATTTTTTGCATAAAACTCCACTGTGGTTTTAAAACTAAGCGTAAATCCCCACTTTACTTTAAAAAATTGCATGGCGCTCTCTTATGCTTTAAAAAATAATGCATGAAACCTCCGCCATGCAAAACATACAGATAGAAAATCACCTTCTCATCATAAAGGGAGTTTTCATGGGGGTGGGGTTTCATGCAACGTTTTCGGAAAGTATAAGGGGTTGTCATGCAATTTTTAAAGTATAAAGAGATTTTACACTGAATTTCAAAACCACAAAAGAATTACGAGCAGTTTTAACTAAAATTTTTAAACAAATAGTACGACCTAATAGATTAGAGTTTGTACCAATACATATATGCATTGGTGATAGCTATGATTGAGGGCCCTAAATCAGTGGTCGATATCAACTCACTTCAAGAGTAATATGCTCGTGGTAAGCTACAAAACTGGACCTCCAAATGTGGGCCTGTATATCTACAAAACATCTATCAAAACTCACGATGATATTCAATAAATGTTTTAATAAAATGCAGCCCTATATATAGAGTTGTTGGCTTTGTTCTTTTATCAAAATTTTTTTAACACTTTTTTTTTAAAATCAATATACTATAAATATTTATTATTTATATATTATAAATATTATTTTTTATATTTTATATAAAAAAATATTCTTTTAAATCAAACTATACCCAAACACAAAACAAACACACCCGTCATCTTTTATGAAAATTATAAATGAAGCTTAATAACTACTCTATTTCTTATTTAAATTTACATTAATTTTCTCATTAAAAAAATGAATTTTATTTTATTTTTCATTAAAAAATATTTTATTTTATTTTTTTATATTTTTCACTGTCAAAAGGTAAAAACTAACATTTATTAATCATTTTTTTTTTTTTGTTAAAAACTCTGTCCTCAACATTTGAGCATATATTTTAATAAGAGAAATAATGTGGGTTTCTTCTCAGAGCAATTGTAATGACTCTGTTATATAAAACTTTTAATGTCAGATTAGAAGTTTTTTTTAAGACTTCTCAAAATACATTACATAATAACTTTTATTTTAACGGGAAAAAATTGAAAATTTTGATCAGGCCATGGTGCGGAAGAAGCCCAATTCAAGTCATTCTTTGATTTTTTTATGTCTTTCTCTCTCCTCTACCTTGTTTCTCTCTCCACGTACTCTCTTTTTCTCTTTTCGTTTTTCTTTCTCTCTCCATCTTTTTTCTTTCTTCATTTATATTTCTTTCTCTTTCTCTTTCTTCCTCATCTCTTCTCTCTTTTTTTTTTCCTTTTCTTTCTTCTAAAATGAAGCTACTGTATTGCTTCTCTTTCTTTATCAACAAATGCATGATATTACTTGGACATATTAGATAATGATGCTTCCTTTTTATAGTTACCATTGCATTTTGTTGTTAAACATTCAAGATGGATAAACCATATATATACAAGAAACACACGAATTTAACCAAAGAACTTAAAGAATCTTTTATTAAACGAAAGCTACTGCTCGAACTCAGTTTACCTAATCGAAAAATAATCCCAACACCTACTGTAATGCACAATAACAATCCAAACACAACCGACATCCACGGAAATGCAACAAACATGCGAACCAAACCAAGATCTAAGGAAAACATCAACGATTTAAGCCTAATCCCTCCCAACAGACAATATAATCAATACACTGTAAAGGAATGCTCGAAATGGCAAATCGAACCGAGGAACAGCCTCAGCACAGGCTGTTTATCAAAGAACTCAGCCGAAGCCTTCAAATTGCCGGACAGATCACTGGAGAAACCCAAGGAAGATCGCTGGAATCGCCGTTGCGGGTTAGGGCTTTTAGAGAGAGGAATCGAGAGTCGGGGAGAGAGAAAGTGTGAGAGTCAGAGTCAGAGTGAGTGATGTCATGAACCGGGTAGAAGCATTATATATATTGCACTGTTTTGGACCGGTTCGGTTCTTTTGGGCGGTTCAGCAATGGACCGCCGGTTTCACAAAGAACCAGATTTGGTTCGGGTTACTGGATCCGGGTTTCAGGTTGTGCAGGTCTGTGCATTACCGGCCTCACTTGTCAGTGGCCAAAAATAACTCCACAATCTCCACCTTTTTGGGCATGGAGAAAGTGGCACATCATGGGTGTCATCACGGTCCGAGCTTCAATTGCTTTCAATCTTTTAACCTGCGGACTTACTTAGCAAGATTAGAATTCTCAATTTTTTTTTTAAAAAAAAAAATTTCATGGCAACATAGCAACATAAAACAGACCAATGCAGAAAACAGAACAGAAACCCAAAAAAATTTTAACTTACAGTTTAAAAAAAAACCTAATCAAAAGTATCGATATACACTATTTTCTTATACAAGTTAAATTTTGAAAAAGACAAAACCTTAGTTCTCATGTCCGCAGGGTTTATATTCAGTTGGAATTTTTTCAAGTTTCAGAAGACCTTTTGACACAATATCACGTATAAAGTGAAACCTAACGTCTATATGTGTAGTTCGGTCATGAAAAACTGGGTTTTTACACAGCTGGATCCCCGATTGACTATCTGAAAAAAATAGTTACATCATTTTTCAAATACCCAATTTCGCTTAACAATCCTTTTAACCATAAAACTTCTTTTAGAGCTTCTGTTATAGTCACATATTCAGATTTGGTAGTAGAAAGAGCAACTGTATGTTGAAGTTGAGACTTCCAACAAACACATGAACCACATAGTGTAAAGATATAAAATGTAGTTGACTTCCTAGAATCTCTATCATTAACATAATTAGAATCCACATACCCATTTAGTTTAATCTCACTTATGTGTTTACCAAAGACTAAACCAACATCAATAGTACCAACCAAATACCTAAACACACATTTTAAAGCATTCCAATGTTCCACACCCAAATTAGCCATATAGCGACTCAAACAAATAATGGCATATGCTAAATCATGCCTAGTACACACCATTAAGTATATGATTGAGCCTATGGCATTAGAGTAAGGAACATTCTTCATGTAAATTACATCATTTTCAGATTTTGGACATTGATCTTTAGAAAAAATAAAATTAGACGCTAAAGGGACTGATTAGTATTTTGAATCACACATTGAAATTTTT